TAATATTATATATATCATAGCAAAGTTAATGCATGTTTTAATATGATGTAGCATAAAATATATAGTATTATTTTTAATATAAATAACATTTAATATAATGATAATAATAAATATTTTAATATAGTGTAATTAAATTATTTTATTATAATGTAATATTTATGATAATATTATATAATATATTACAGCTAAGTACATGTATATTTTAATATAATGTAATTTATTTATAATATATATTGCAGCAAAGGTCATGCATATTTTAATATACATTTATAATTTTTTATATTATTTATAATAATTTAATATATAATAAATAATAATGCTTTAATATAATTTATAGTAATATATATCAGCAAAGTTTATGCATGTTTTAATATAATGTATATTTGTAATAATGTATGTTACGCTAATAATAAATAAACATTTAAATATAACTTTATATTTAAAATGATTTATTATAATAATTTTATATTTTGAATTATGTATTAAATATATGAATGTGTATTATAACACAGTTGGTCTGTGTCTGTGTCTGGTTCAGGATAGCGGTGGAGTGAGTCTGGAGCTGGCGGTCGGTGACTCGTCGATGCTCCTCACAGTGTGTGCGGGGACTGTACTGACGGCTGTACTGAGCTGTGTTTACCTGCTCCGAAACATCTGGAAACACGGCAGCTTCTGATCAGAGCATCACAGTCAGTGCGGATGCTGTCATGTACGTCACGCTGGACTGTGAGATGAAGCTCCGGGATACGGCTCCACCAGGGTTTTACAGAAATGTGCATGAATGAATATGTTATCATAGTGGATTAATAATTTATTACTGCAATTGTAAATAAAACTGAATGGTACTTTGTTTAAAAAAAAAAAATACTATTTTGTGTCCGTCTGTTATTACAGTATTTTAAGAAATGTGTCATTATTAGTATTTTTTATGTATATATATATATATATATGTATTTTAATATTCATGACATTCACTGTTAAACATATTTAATGTTATAAAATAATTTGTTTCGACATTATTACTATTATTTGTATAAAAATAATGGAGACAATAATATACACGTCTTCAAAAGATTTGTGTGTGTGTCTGTTATTACGTTATCAATATTTTGAGAAATAATTATTAGTATTTAAATATTAAGCTATATATATAATCGTAATTTAAAATATATATGTGTGTGCGTAAGTATACAATTCCAAATCAAATATTTAAATAATTTAAATCCTTTAAAAAGGTACAATCCTTAATATGTATGCATTAATGTTTATATAATAAATAGAGTAAATAATATATACTTCTTAATAGTAATATATCATTTATAAAGCGGATAGTTCCGGTGCTTGATTCTGATTGGCTGAGCCGCGTTTGAAGCTGTTGTAAATTACTCTACAAACATACACCTTTGTTTACGTTTGTCTGTTGCTCGGCAACCACTTTGTTGGAACCACAACTGTTTCTGAGGAGCTACATTGTTTGGTGGAAGAATACTGTTTTTATTAATATCATTACACTTTATTTGCTCTGTTTTATTCTGTGAAACCTTACTACGTATATGGAATAACCGTTTTATAAAAGTCGTGCCTAACAACACACCTTAGCTGTTATAAATTCACTGTAAACCACGGCTTCACGGGGCTTATTGCTTTAATAATTGTTAAAAAACGTGATTGTGGAATTTAATTCGCCAGACTTTTATTTTGTCGGTCGTTTCCCCAGAACCCCGTCGCACCGGAAGCAGTCGCTGGCTGTTCGCTGCAGGCGAGAGCAGACAGAGCCGCTGCTGGGCGCCTCCTCTTCCTCAAACCAGCACAAAGACACCAAAAACACCACGATAGCGGCGCAGAAACCTTCCGACGGGGCTCCCGCTGCACCGCTGCTCCGCAGGCCTCCTCCCGGACAGAGCGGCTGAAGTTCACAGGTGAGCCGCGACCCCAAACCTAGTGTGCTGCCTACCTAGACAGCAGCCGCGAGCGCTTGAGTGCTGTCTGTGTAGGGCGCTCACTAGGGCTCGTCTGTGTGCTTGCAGCAGCTTTGAGCTTCTCTCTGTGTGTCGCTGCAGCGCATGGAGACTAAAACAGCAGCAATGTGTCACTAATATAATAATTAACCGCTGGCGATGAATTCTGTCGTTGGATTGTAATTAAAGATTTAATTATTAGGGGTTGAAAAGAAGAAAATTATATTTTGCGTAAATTAAACTTCTTTAAAAAGTGAAATAAATTATTATTTATTATTATTATAGTAGTTTTTAGGTAATTTTATTATTTTTTGTTTTTGTTCATTTTTAGGACAATTGTTATTAATTTATTCTGACATTATTTTGTGATAATTAAGCATAAAATTTTCCTAAAATCATCTGAATATTCTTTATGCAAAATATAATTTATTTAATGAAATGACATTAATATTAATTTATTATTTAATTTTTAATAGTTTATTATTGTTAATTTTATGATAATTTTTATTAAAGTATCCTGACACTATTTTTATGATAATTAAGCATAAAATGGCTATGATGATCCTAAAAATCACCTTAATATTTTTAATGCAAAATATAATTTCTTATTTAAAAAAAATCACATTTATTATTATTTTATAGTAATAATTAACCAGGATCTTAGGACAATTATTGTTAATTTATTCTGACATTGCTTCCAGGAGAACTGATCATAACATAATAATAAAATATAATTTCTTGCAAAATATAATTTATTTTAAATTTTTTTTATTGTCATGATAATTAAATATAAAATTGCGGCAATGAAAAAAAAAAGTTTCTTATTTTTTACCATTAATATTAATTTAGTTATCTTCATTCTGATTAAATATAAAATTGCAATTATGCAATATATAAATTATTGGGTTTTATTTATTTGTTTGTTTTATACACAGGGTTATCATCATTCACTGAAACCCAAACTAAACTAAAACCATAAAAAAAAACATTTCTTGCTATAAAATAATTGTAAAATAAACACATTTTGTATTTAACTGCAATGTTATAGTTGATTATCACAATAATTATATTTTGCATACTTGCAGTTTCACACAGAATTATAATGAAAAGTAACTAAACTGATAGGAATAAAGTAAGAAAGCAAGGCTGCAGATGTGTTTGTGTTGCTGATGGTGTTCGTCTCCGTTGTGCTTCCCTTCTGCTCCTGCAGCTCTAACTCCTCCTTTTCTTTATCTCCACCTGCAAACGTTCCCCTCGACCCACTCCTCCTTTCTTTCCTTTCTCCTTGCCCCGGACCATGTGTGATAATGGGGATCTGGAGGACAAGCCGCCCGCGCCGCCCGTCAGGATGAGCAGCACCATCTTCAGCGGCGGGAAGGACACGCTGGCTGCCAACCACAGCTCCAAGCCCCTGCCCTCGGTGCCCGAGGAGCGCAAGCGCAACAAGATCTACTCCATCTTCTCCGGAGCCGAGAAGGGTGTGTACGGGTGCAGATTCACTCACTCACACACACACACACACACACACACACTCTCTCTCT